CACCACGCTTAAGACAGATATCTAGGGTAGTGCATGGTTTTAAAGTTTCAAGACGTTTTTGGAAATAATCATCAACAAGATTAGATAATTCGATAATGTCTTTCTTATTTTCGAAAAATTATTTTTACCACTTCTAGTTCTATTTCAAGAAGGCATTCAGTGACGTCTTCGATAGAGTCGAAGGAGAGGGATGGAACTAGATGCCCGAGGGCTATAGAGTTAATGGCTCTGCTAGTGCGAACCTGGATCGTCAAGTTGAATGTCCTGATAGCGTATCAGCTTGGCATGTAGCTTCATAATACCTTAGATGGGATTCTCAAAAGTAACCTCTGTGTTGAGGCTACAGGACGTTTAGGCTTCTGGCTTCCTCTGGTACTGGTAACTTTGGCGGCAACATGAGGTTGATGTAGCTTTATTGCTCAATTCTGATGATCATTTCAGGGATAGATCCAGGAAATTCGTTCAGTGTGGGTACAATTTAATTGAAGTTGAAATTTGAATTTTGGTCATGAATTTAATGATAATAGAACTAGAAAACAATATCACAATAATACTAAAAGTGATATAGTTTATAATTAAAAATGTTTCTTATGAGGTTTCATCATTTGATATCGTCATACAATAACGTTATTATCAAGTAATTTAAAGCAAAAACAAGTATCTGAAAGCAAAAATAAGTGAACCCCAAATCAGCCTATGCCTAAAATCAAGCAACATATTCTCAACCTTTGCACAAAAGTCAATTAAGTTCACAAATCACAACCTATATGCAAATTGCAATTCACAGAACTGGTAACTAATACATGACTTTAAATTAGCAACTTATATCTAACCTTAGTAAAACATCCAATAAATTTCACCTCGAGAGGCAGGGACGACATCCAATTAGACCTAAGGCTCCATCGCTCCAGGAGCTTCTAAGATTGAGTTCTTCTGCCTGCAAATCAGTAAATTAATTTCATAAGAATCACAAAACTGATAAATGACTCATCTTGATTCTAGGTTCAAATCAAATCAAAATAACAAATAGAAAGAAAAGTTCAATGAGAGGGCTTCGACTTCAGGCTTCACCTATTCGCAGTTCAGTGGTGCTGGTTCACCTTCTTTCTTCTTCCAAAAATGAATCAATGTCGTCTGCCCTTTCGGTCGCTAATAGCATCGATGGAAGGAATATTGAAGGAGGCACTGATGGTGTCTCATCGCGAGCTCAGAGTGATGAGAGTAAGACTATAAGAGGTTAAATGAAAAGATTTAAAGTTCCCATGGCTATGCTTCGCAATTTCTGTTTGTCTCGCATAACGGCAAATCCAGTTCAGATGATTGTGAGAGACGAGTAGAATCAAATATATTGGATTGGATTTGGGTAAAAGCTAGGCTGGGTTGCTGGTAGGTAGTGATGAAATTGAATCATGGGCCATTGCTAACATTATTATTAAAAATAAATAAATAAATAAATATCTAATTTTTATTGGTTTGACCCAAAAGTCTTTCGCTGGGCCTAATTGTTCTCCGCCCTAGATCATTTGACTCAATTGATTGCCCACTCTTAACAAATTCTTGAATTTTACTTTTTTTCTAATAGGGAATGAAAGCTATAATTGTTCAATCGACGGTCAATGAAAACTCATTGATTTTTATAGGCATCTGGGTTGGTGGGGATAAGGATCTTTCTTTGTTGTTGCTTTTATTAGTCAAAATGGTACCTTTTGTTGTGACAAATCTTTCTTTGTTTACTTTTTATTCCTTTTAGTCTGATGACGTCGGCTTGTCTTGTCTGAAAGTCATCCAAAGGCGGTCGCAGCAATTTTTAGGGAATTTACAAAGGAATAATGCAGAAGAAACAGGGAATAAAAACAGGGAGCAAAAAGTAGGATGACTTGGCAGTCTATGATTGAGTGTTTTTATGTGTTTTTTCCCCCTAATTTCCAAAAGATGTTTGGAATAAATTTTTTGTCAATGAGTCTGGTCATGTAGTATGATTGTTTACGAAGTGGGTCTGGAAGTACGTGGAGAGCAGAATATTCCCAAGACTGAAACTATACGAGAAGAGTAGACCCAAAGAAATGAGCTCAAGACGTGTTACTCAGCCCGGTCCTGAGGCCAGGTGGATGAGGCCTACACCTCAGGCCCAAAATCCAAGGGGGCCTCGTTTTGTTGGCCCAATTTTTTTTTTTCGTTTTTGTAGTATAGCAACCCGCAGCCCAGGCCCCATTAGCCCAAAACTCTTAACCCAGTAGCCCACCCGAACCACTAAACCCGATCCACTATCCACACCCAATTTCCCCAAAATGTCAATTGATTTCCATTTTCTCCCAAATTGGATTGGCAAACCGACGAAACCGAAAATGCCTCCCGTCGCCAGTGAGTCCTCCCCTCTCCGTCTGAACTCTAAAGTGCCAATATGCGGCTGTGCCATCTCCGAGTCTCTCTCGCTCGACGTTTCCAGGCCCTCGACAGTTTACTCGAAATCTTCTTGACTCCTTCTTCCGCTTCCAAGTTCAACCCTAGGTATCTCTAATGTCTCTCTCGGCTCTCATAATACAAATGTATACACTATTCATATATATTATATACTGATATAGTCTACTGTCTACGCCTCGACAGCTCGACTGGGGTCACTGGACATCTCCTATTCTCCTTCCGCTTCCGAGTTCAACGGCGTAGCCCTAGCGGTTGAGGTAAGACTCAATCACCATGTTCATGTGTATTTATTTACATTTTTTGTGAGTATATCAGTATATGTATTAATGTATATAGATAGAATCTGTTTGTATTGAGTGTATTTATTTGCTATGATTTATTTACATTTTTTGTGTGTATTTATTTGCTATGATTTATACAACTTTTATTCTTGTTATCATGTTATGGAAAGTATTATATAACTATGCTGGGATGACTTCATAGCAAGTCTTAAACTAATTTAATCCTGCAGATTGTCGTGATGAGCATTCCGCAGTATAGCTGAGTTCTTTTAAGTTATATAACTCCTCCAAGGATAGGTACAAAAATCAGATTTTAATTGAAAGAAGACATCTACTTCTTAATGCTTGGTGGCTTGTAATCTTAATATCCAATTCCTTTAACCTTAAGGCCTCCATCAAGTCTCCTAACCCCTTAGTACTTCATACAGGATAGATAGATATATATCTTATAAGTCACACTTGTATTGAGTGTATTTATTTGCTATGATTTATTTACATTTTTTGTGTGTATTTATTTGCTATGATTTATACAACTTTTATTCTTGTTATCATGTTATGGAAAGTATTATATAACTATGCTGGGATGACTTCATAGCAAGTCTTAAACTAATTTAAACCTGCAGATTGTCGTGATGAGCATTCCGCAGTATAGCCGAGTTCTTTTAAGTTATATAACTCTTCCAAGGATAGGTACAAAAAATGAAAAAGGCTGTTCGGTGTGTGTGTGTGGGGGGAGGTTAGGGTAGAGGGTTGAACAGTATTTTGAATAATGAAAAAAATTGTTTTCACTTGTTTTTAAAGGAGCTTTTCTTGTTGCATTTTTCTTTTGATTATTTGAATATGGAAGCAAAACTATATTTTTGCTTCCAAAATGCCTGTTTTGAACAAAAAGTCCAAAAAGACCTCTTTACTATGCAAAATTTAGACCAGAAATGAAGGTGCAATTCTTTGGTTTTAGGGAGATGGAAATCCAATGGCAATGAAGGTTGTGCAATTTTTGGCTTTTTGACAATTACGGCCAAAAGATCAAAAGGAAAAGAAGCAGGAGGACAAAGAATATACACTCTGATACCATGTGAGAAAAATGGGTTGTTTTGTCTTATTTTGCAGAGCATGGAACTCCGTAATAATATGCTCATACTAATTGCATGAAAACTTACACACAATATCTACAAAATAAATACAAAGATAAATTTGTGTTAGAAGTATATAAATGATCATAATAAAAATTCACGATTTGGTGTTAAATAAAAGGGATTGATTTTCAGGTTGTAAATAAATTACTTGTGATTTAATAACATATTTACGTGCGAGTATTATATAAGTGTGGTAAAAGTTTGGGAATTGCGATATGAGATCAAGGGTACAGAAAGTAAGTTGGAACAATAGAAATTGAAAAACAGATTCTGTCCATCTTCAAATTACATAAAGTTCCACCTTCACTCAACACTTATCACCCTAAAGATAGAAAATTTTGATTTGAATATGCGCTATGACATTAATGATCCAGTTAAATGATGTCTATATTCGTAGAACTTGGAAAATAATGGTAATTATACAGTCGGTTACTTGTAGTGTTAATCTAAAATATTTTGCCATCTAAGGTCTTTTTATGAATAAAATATTTTTGTACCTATCCTTGGAGGAGTTATTTCTCATCCTCCCTTCTTTCCTGCACTCTCTCATCCTCATCCTTGCTTATTAATGTATTTATCTTACTTAGGGGTGCGTTTGATGTGAAATTTTTGTTTCAAGGTCAAGAGTTGTGAGCTTGTGACATTGGAATTCTTGAAAGTGTAACTCCAAAGTTTTCGTCAAAATTCTACTTGTCAGGTAAGCAATGGCTTGCCTTAACTTGTCATTGAAGAAATTGAAAATGTTTGAAGCCTTGTTGGCTTATATAATTGTGGCCTAGTCGGCTTATATGATTGACTATTAGAGGATCAACAATTGCATAGGCGCACATAATAACTATATTGAAAACTCTAGCTGTGTGATGATTTGAGATATTTTGTATTTGTTTTTTAGGTTAATCATTGAGCATCAGATATAGACTCATACACCATGCCTCCTAAATATGAGTCTGGTGCTCAAAAGAGAAAAAGGAAACGAACTGAGATTTCATTAATTCAAAGTCAAGCAGGGGATATTGGCAAGTACTTTAAAAGCAACAATATAAATACGTTGAATGAGGATGAAGTAGAGATTCAACCTGCATGTGTTAATGAAGTAGATCATAAGGATGAAGAAGTGAGTCAAGCTGCCTATGTTGTAGTAGATGATAAGGAAGAAAAGGTGATGAAACATGCATGTATTAATGAAGTAGATGACAAGGAAGAAGAGGGTTGCTCTTCTCTAAATTTGGATGATCCCGGGAATTGGAAAATTATTGATCAGAGAACAAGAGATTACTTAGTTGAAAGGGGTCCAAAAAGAGTTGATGACATCTCGTTTCCGAAAGATTGTACAAATAGGCATTTTGATTCTTCACAATATAAGCAATTGCTACGAAATGGGTAAACAATTGATAGAAGATGGCTAGTCTATTCAATATCTATGGACAGGATCTTTTGCTTTTGTTGTAAGTTGTTTAAAACAGTAAAAAATGCTACCAGAGTTGGACAACTTGGTAACGATGGATTCAAAGATTGGCATAATTTGCATCGGTCTATTAAAAGTCATGAAGGAAATGAAGAGCATTTATGTTGCATGACTAGCTGGATTGAATTGGAAAATAGGCTTCGAACAAAAACTACAATTGATAAAAGCGTTGAATTGTTGATCGATGCGGAAAGAGAACATTAGAGGCATGTACTAACAAAGATAATCGCTATTGTAAAAAGACTCGCCAAAAACACCTTGCCATTTCGAGGAGATGATGAGAGGCTAAATGTTGAGAACAATGGTCTGTTTTTACAAATGGTGAAAATAGTTAGTGAATTTGATCCAATAATGAAAGAACACCTTCGGCGGGCTAATGCAAAAGAGATTCAATACACGTATCTTGGCAAAAAAATTCAAAATGAGTTGATACAGTTGTTAGCTAATGAGGTGAGAAATGCAATTGTCAAGAAAGTTAAACATGCAAAATATTTTGCAGTTATACTTGATTGTACTCCAGATGCAAGTCATGAGGAGCAGATGTCGTTAATAGTACGATTTGTAGATGATTCGGCAAACTTACCTATAGTTGAAGAACATTGGCCTAAATTCTTGAAGGCAGATGACACAACAGGACTTGGACTGACAACCGAGCTTCAAAAGGCTTTGATCAAACTCGATCTGAATATTGATGACATTAGAGGGTAAGGGTATGATAACGGATCCAACATGAGTGGGAAGTACAGAGGTGTGCAAAGAAGAGTACTTGAAATGAATCCCTGAGCTTTCTATACTCCATGTGGCGCTCATAGTCTAAATCTAGCGTTATGTGATATGGTGAATTGTTGTTCCAAAGCTGTATCATTCTTTGGAGTGATACATCGCATCTACACTCTGTTTTCATCTTCTACCAAGCGATAGCAAATTTTTAAAGATAATGTAAAAGGGTTGACAGTAAAGCCGTTGTCACAAACACGTTGGGAAAGTCATGTTGAGAGTGTGAAACCTATAATGGAGCAAACTGCACAGATAAGAGAAGCATTACTTGATTTGGCTGAAACTAACGAAGATCCTAAAATAAAGAGTGAAGCCGAGTCGTTGGCAACACATGAACTTCAGGATTTTGAGTTCTTGCTTGGCATGATAATCTGGTATAGGTTGTTGTATGCAGTCAATATTGTGAGTAAATTTCTTCAAACTGAATCCATGGACATTGATCATGCGATCGACCTATTGAAAGGACTTGTTTCATTTCTTGAAGATTATAGAGAAATTGGATTTGCCATTGCCAAGGATGAAGCGACAAAAAAGGCAAATGAAATGGGAATTGAAGCTGTATTTACAGAAAAACGCATAATTCGAAGAAAAAAACAATTTGATGAAAACTGTAGTAATGAGGTAAAGCAATCAGCAGAAGAATCATTTAGAGTTGAGTACTTTGTTTTTATAATTGATCAAGCTCTATCTTCTCTGAGGACTCGATTTGAACAATTCAAACTATATGATGATATATTTGGATTTTTGTTTAATTTGAAGAGGTTAAGGAGTGCAACTTTATCAAGTTTGTTGAACTATTGTATGAATCTTGAGAAATATCTTGAACATGATGGGCTTTCAGATATCAGTGGAGATGATTTGTGTTCGGAATTACAAGTCTTGAAGATTTATTTACCAAATGAAGCAATAAGAGTAATTGAAGTGCTACACTATTTGAAGACATTGGATGTTTGTTTTCCAAATGCTTATATTGCTTACAAAATTTTGTTAACCGTACCGGTTACAGTTGCATCTGCGGAAAGAAGTTTCTCGAAATTGAAGTTGATCAAGACTTATCTCCGATCAACTATGTCACAAGAAAGATTAAACGGGTTGGCTATGTTATCAATAGAAAAAGAAATGGTTAAGCAGCTAAGTTATTCAGATTTGATTGATGTTTTTGCCTCTAAAACAGCAAGACGAATAGTATTTAACTAATTGTTTGAAATTTTTGGTTTGATGGTTTATAATATAATCGTTTCTATGATATATTTCGTTGTTGTTTTAATGTTAGTTTTTTTAAGTTAGCAATGAGTCGCATAATCACTACAACAAATTTTAATGCACGCCGTAAAAAGTCATTTACGGCATACAGGCGCATGCCGTATAAAGCCATGCCGTAAATGCTCGCATTCTTTTACGGCGTGCATTGCATGCAGTAAATAACGAAAGGCACGCCGTTAATGCACTTTTTACGGCGTGCAAATGCACGCCGTAAATACTTCAACTTTTTACGACTTCTTTCTATTACGACATGCACATGCACGCCGTAAAAACTCAATTGTTTACCTTTTACGGCGTGCACCTGCACGCCGTAAATGTGAATTTTATTTTTAAAAATTATTTATTTATTTAATTACGAACAAGCTTATAATAATTAAAAGATTTATATATACCAACACATATAATATAATCATGTTTTCCATAATTCCAATAAATAAAAGTATTAAGTGCGATCAAATACAATATACCAAAATGTAGAGTTAATCTCAATGATTACTAAGAACATCATTAGCCTAGCCAAAAAGTTGATATCAATTTGCCAAAAGTATTGATTACTACCCCAAAAAAAGTTGATATCAATTTTATCGACAAGCAAGCATTTGGACCAGTTTTGTAGCTTGTAATAGGGTCAGTAGATGTCGAATTGCTGCATGCCATATGCTTTATTTTGCAGTAGTGTCCACTCTTCAGTTGCTTCAAGTCTCCACAACAACAATCATCCAACAAAGATTACTATATGCCTCATGGTCAAGTTGTCGGGAACCTGCATGGCTTTCTTAGTTAGATACAGTTAAATTTTTTTCCTCTCTACCGTACAAACCAAAAATGGAACAAAGATTATATACCAAGATTAAACTGAAAACGCACGTTAAAAAAACTAGAAAACTTACAGTCAATGGATAAGAGGAGATTCTTCCTTCCAGTGTCTGCATTTTCAATTGCAAATGACACAGAAGAAGAAAATCATCCACGCAAGATTTGGATGCTTGCATTTTCTCGAAATCCATTGATTGCACTTTGAACCTAGGACAAAAAGAATAACGCAGAGAAGATAAATAGTTGATCACCAACCATCTTGTATAAACCAATTTATTCAGATAATCATAATGATAGAATAAGTGGAATTGGAAAGGGTGATTCAACACACAATCAAAGAAACTTAAATTGAGCTACAGTTATGGGCCCAAAGGATTTATTTGAACTAACATATTGTCAATCAAGAACATTTGAGTCTGAGAGAATATTTTTCAGAAAATTTACCTCTAGAAATAATAGTTAAAGAAATCTATATGCCTTTGTATTTTGAAGGCATATATATCAGTAGCCTTTGAAAGAGCCGTATACAACAAGCAATTTGTTAACTTCTCTAAAAAGAAGCATGCCATTAGGAGATGAAGTATCGAAAGTCATGCGTTGAGCTTTGTTTAACACAAACTCAGCCATGAATTTCAGCAATGGTGTTGTGACCTGCAAAAATCAATCATAAGGTTGTAAAAGTGAGTTTCATTCGTGTAAAGCAAAAATACAGAAAAAATGTTATCTTCCTCTATAATTACAGAAGTTTCTTCTTTCTTATGTGTTCAGCTTGGGGGTGCATGTAAATACCTTCCTGGCATTCCCCATGTCAAGCATCAACAGCAGCTGGAGCAGGGCAGCTTGTGACGGAAGGGTCGACTCAGAATTTTGGAGCAGCAGCCTTCCAATTCTACATGTATTTGCTAGATATCTGTACAACTAAAATGAGTTCTGACCACATAACGTAACTTACTACTCATAACAAAATGTCGCAGTATAACTTAAACCACTTTAGCAACCTTTACATTATGCTAACAAGGGACAAACGCACCTATCTAACTAAGGAGCTCAACTTTGATTCCATTATGTTCAACCTTTTTTCCAGCACTTGGCTCAACAAAAATATGCAAAGATGCAGAATAAATATGCACCCACCTGATGGCAATTATCAATTTTGACATCGAAATTAACACAGAGATAAAAATATGTGATTTTGTCTCTAGTAAAAACTGGTTGTTTAAAAATTATTTCAATGCTACGCAAAAACAACTCGAAGCACATTTATGGCACAAATTAACTACCAAAAAAATCTAGGCTTAACAATATTTATACATGCTTCTGCAGAATCAGCTGAAGTTTAAGCAATAAATTATTCTCGTTTATATAACAGCACCAACTATGGCAATAAGCATATAAAACACCAAGTTTCTAGATATAAAAATACACCATCGATGTCCATCACTGACACTCCAATATCAGAGCATTATACACATTCTGTGAATTGGTACTATCCCAAATAGAATAAAATTTGCTGAGCACCATGATAAACAATAAATTTAAACCTGCTTCCTGGATTTTCCATTTGAAAATGTAATTGATACATTGCATGCTGGCTTGAAGGCTCCAATTATAAAATTCTGAACAGAAAATCACAATTACGATAATATTAAAAAATCACTGTAGCATAGCGGTAATTGCCTAAATAAAAATAAATAAATAAAAAAAGAGGTGCCATGGAGATTTAAGTTAGAGCTGAAACTTCAGCATGTTGAGACTATCGAATTCCCAAATAGGAAAACCTGCAACAATTTTCCATTCAAGGTCAAGCTTCAATTACCTGCAACAAATAGAAAGCATATGCATTTTCATTATTAATCAAAAATGAACTCTTAATCAAGGAATATAATATATCTTATGCTTTTTGGGAGGTCAAACAAAGTATGTTCTGAAAGAAAGATTAATCAGATAGACGTGAAAAATTGATTGAAACAACACCGTTAAACCAAAAAGCAATAGAGAAAACACAAACCCTTACCAACCCATTGAATCTAAATACAATCTTCTCATCACTGTGACAACAAATAATTCAAAACAAAGGATTAATATCATAAGAAATTACAGAGAGGTTTTCACAGGGGAGAAGAGAGACAAGAAAATGGCGAGAAAACAGCAGAGAAGATACAAACATCCCACTAGGATCTCTAATCTACAATCTTATTGCAGCTCTCGTGCACGAAGGAAACACAGGAAACTCACAAGAAGCCGTAAACGAACCCTAGTTTTACTGAAATTTCAATTGAATTTGAACCATAGTTTTACCAATTACCCAATCTACATTTCACATTATTTCCCTGCAAATTGATAGCAAAACGAAAAAAAAAATCAATAAATGATACCTAAAAGCTATCCCAGTGCTGATTTCGGTCGTTAGGTTAGTGGGCTCACGGTTGATGGCTAATTGAAGGGTGGTAATTTGGGAGAAATGGCGGTATGGCGGACAGAGAAGGAAGAAAACGAAGGAAGGAAAAAGAACCGAGCACGAATGAGAAGGAAAATAAACGGAGAGAAAGAAAAGGGAAATAAAAGGAAAGAGAGAGAAAACGGAATACGGCATTTACGGCGTGCATATCAACGCCGTAATAAGTCGAAAAACACGGCACGCATGAAGAGCACGCCGTAAATACTACCTTAATACGGCGTGCATAAATGCATGCCGTAAATACTTTAACAAACTGATTTTTAACGGCATACATATACCGTATGCCGTAAATAGTCTGTTATTACGGCATGCCTTATATGCACGCCGTAAACGTATGCCGTAAAAACTACATTTTGTTGTAGTGAATACACCTTTGAATTTTGTCGATGAGGGG